AGAACCTCTGAAAATATTTTAAAGAGTAACTCAAGAATATTTTAAACAATTACTAAAATTTCACATTTTAAGATCCACAGACCAGGCATATGTTAGCAGAGAGCTCAAAAGAGCTTTGCTGAAGAGTATTCTGAGCTATTCCAGTTGATATTTCATACGTTCTGAAACACCGAGGCAGCTCAAGATGATTGTAAAGAAGCTAGTTGTTGTCCCTTTGTTCAAGAGGATAAATGGGATTGCTCAAGCAAACACAGGCAGATTAGACTGGAATCAGTCCCAGGGAAACCTATGGAAAGATTTGTATGAGACGTGACTGGTAAAGAATTAAAGGATACTGATGCATTTAAAAATCATTAGTATAATATGGAGAGCAGATCCCACAGGAAAATAATTAAGATCTCTTTTTTGTAGAGTGATTGCAATGTGAGTGATAGAAATATTTCTGGAGGCTAAAGCACTTGATTTTGTGCAGCAACACTCAGATGTAAGTTTCAGCTTGTACCAACATCTAGGCTATGCTTGTTGTTGGAGAATTTTTCCACTGAACCAATTTTTAATAGAGAACAATTATAGTTTACATTTTTAAATAGGATTTTGTTGGGGTTTTTTTGTTTTTTTTTTTTTTGTTGTTGTTTGTTTGTTTGTTTGGTTGGTGTTTTTTTTTTTTTTCTGCTTGAGGAATTAAAAACATCTGTTTTGGTGCTTGTCTCTATTGAAATATTTCACTTTGCTAAACTGATGAAAAGCTGTACTTGCCCATGATAATTCAAAGTCTCATTGAAAATGTAGATGTAATATGCTCAGATATTTTTCTGTTTCATCCTATAAGAAGCTGTTTCATGGGCACATGAAAGCTCTTTCACCTCCACAAAACATTCTTATGCCACTGCTGGACTGACCACAGCTCTGAATAAAAACTTATTCTTAGCGAGGACACCATAAGAACTTGTAGCACTTACCTGCACAATTTTAAGTCCTTCAGCCTACAGCCAACTCACACAGATTGCAATTCTCTGTGGGCCTTTGGGGTTAGAATAGAAAATCTAAGCAGTTCATCATCAGCTTTGAATGCTCTAAACCTCTGAAGCTAGAACCTAAAGCAGACTTTACCAAATGGAAACGAGGAAGATAATGCTTACTGGAATATTTTTCCCATGGAGCATCTTATCTGCTAAGCCTTCTGCTGCAAAGGTCTCCCTTGAAAGCAGTTGGTCCACGTCAGAAAGGCAAGAGTGAGATTAATTGCACGATTACTCTAGGTTACAACAGCAGAGCCCAGTGCTTCTGATGACTTATAACACACTCTTTGCTTGCACCACAGCTTTGTGACGACTCACATAGCCTCTGCTCTGCTTTGCTCATTAATGCTCACTTCCTAGTGGCACACATATAGGTTAGACTGCTACAGTCCTACGTAACAGTGGGAGATCAGTGTTTACAATTTGGTCTTTAATTCTTTTATGTTTTGTTGCTGCCAGGAGTAAAAATAGAGTGTAATGGTCTTCATTTCCTTTCCTCCTCATTACTGTCATTGTTCCTACCACAGTTTTCTAAGTCTTCTCCCTGAGCTCCATTACTCCTAGCACTTATTTCTTCCTTGTTCTCTCAGGTTCCTCCTTCTTGACCTGTCCTTCTCCTTTTTCTCTTCTGCTTTGGTTCCTTCAATTTTCCTTCCTAATCACCCCTTGTCACCAGCCTCTCTGCCTCACAGACTCACAGCTGGCTGCTTTCCACATTCCTTATCCTTGCTTCTGATAGCTGTTGGATTTCAACCTCTCGGAAACAATTTTTTCTCTCCCATATCCTTTAACCCATTGCATCTGGAGGCTGGTGCTGACACAGCTGCATTCACAGAAGAGACCTTTAGCAAGCTGCCCACTCCCATGGCTTTCACAGTTGCTACTCTGCTTCCCACCTTCAGGCTGAAGGGTGTTTTCTTTCTTTTTGTTAGGTAGGATGGGGGTACATTGAATTTTGCTTCAATTGGAACTCAGCGGTTGCTGTGGAGCTGTTTCTGAACAGCTCCAATGCAAAATGAAAGGAAACAAAATTTGCAATCTTTATCCTTCAGAAGAAATTAAAGTCACATGTACATGATAGTGAAGAACCATCACAGAAAGGGATTAAATGTTACACAGTAAAAATTGACAGATACCCAGCAAATATGTATCCCACTCTTCGCTTTTGCACTCTCTTCCTCTCCTTCTGTCTGAGTAGCCAGCTCTGTTTCTACTTTCTTCCATCTGGCAGCTCTCAGAATAATCTCACCCACCTGTTAAATGAGAGAACGTCAAATTAAATTTACAGCAAGGCCTGGAAACAGGATGCTACAGAGAAGTATTTTAATTAAAATCCTCTAATTGAATGCATGCTTCCTTGTGAAAAGGGAGGTGCCAAAAAGGGCCTTGATGTCACCACCTCTACCCCTGTTTGCCAAAAAAGGGAGACAATTGAAACCAGCTCTCAAGGTGGAAAGAGGAAAGGGCATTTCCAGGGAGTTTTCCAGGGTCACCCTTGCAATGGTGTTAGATGGTTCATGGGAGGTTTGCCCTTTACCAGCATAAGAGCAGAAGATGTTACAGCAGCTCTGCTTCTTCTGGTCAGGCACTTTGCAGAGGAACGAGATGCCACATAGTAAAGGATAGGGAATATCTCTATGAAACCTGAACTCTGGATAGAAATGTGACAAATATAAAGCCTCTCTCTGATGTGGAGGTCTCCATGGTGTGAGTTCTCCTGGGAATGCTTCACAAACAGCTTCATTAGGCAAACAAGTAGGATTTTAAAACTCATTTTGTGACAATTGCTGGAATGGAGAGCAACATTTTCATAGGGACAGATGGAAACTGATAACAAGAGGCAAAAGTCTTGGGATCGCATTGGGAAAGTCTGGATTACTGTGCCTGGATGGGGCCAGTGGACCCTCATCCGGACACACTGTCAGCCTGGGATCTGGTGCAGGATATTAAATGCAGCATTAATATGATAAATTACAGTTGTCCGGTAACCACACAGCACTTGCAGAGAGGAATAACAGAGTGGGTATGTTCAAACAAATAAGAGTGGGAGTCAGGAGGAAGTATTTGGGGAGAAGAGGGAATTAACAAGTGCTGTAGAATTGCGTCACTGCAATGTAATTCTAACTCTTCTAAATACTATGCAAATCCACTGACACTATATACTTCCTGTAACAATGACACCTCTGGCTTTTCTTTCCTTGTTATATAGTAGTTAACTGTTATGAAAAGAGAGTTACGGAGAATAAAATGCACATAAGAGGCACATACATGCCTCTATCTAAAGACACAGTAGCACTAGTAACAATTCACTACATTCTGCAGAATTTACAGGTTTTTCCACTAGGCTGCCCTCAGCATTTGGAGGGGAAGTTTGGCACCACTGCATTCCTATGCCTCCACACTGGTAAAGGTCACTTCCTAGGAACCTCAGGTCAAAGAGGAGAAAAGATCCCAGCGTCCTCAGGTGTTTGCCAGCCCTCTTTCGTTGGCAACAGAGAATACTTTCATAAAACAGATTCATTTTATGTTTCAATATTTTAATGCTTCATTGGACTATTTAGAAATGGGAAAATCTTACATCCCCTCTTGAGAAATCTGGCAGGCACGTTTGGCTCATGCTGGGAAAGCAAAACCACTGGCAAACCCCTCAGTCTTTGCTAAAATTTAAAATGGATAGTCTGAGTGTTAAACACATTTTTAACACCCTTCGGGATTGCTGGGGCATCAAGCATAAAAGACTGAAGACCTAGGGAAGGGTAATTTTTATTTATTTATTTATTTATTTATTTATTTATTTATTTTCCAAAGAGCATTAGAGCATTCTGAGATACAAGAGTGACTTCCAGACCAACAGTAGGTAACTCAGGTTTTTAGGGTAATGGGGAATACAGATGCCAACACTTGCCCACTTTACCTATATTCTTGTTAAATGGATATTAAACTTAGCTACAGCTTTGAGGAAGTGTTGTTCAGACTAACAGCACAGTAACTGTTCACAGACACCAGCACCAGTGCTTGCCTGTTATCCATCAGTTTATATCATCAAATGTGCTCTGGAGAATGCTTGAGCATTGATTTGTTGTTTGACAGTGGAGTTAGTGGACCAGGAGTGCAAAACCACTGAAACAAATGTGGGGATGTTGACAACAGGTATAGGGGTTGGAGAGAAAGTCTTAGGATGATTTGGAAAAGAACTGCTGATAGTAGAGTTTACTCTGTCAGGTAGAGCTCACATATTTGCAGACACAGAACATCTTTTAGAAAGCAAGATAAATCACTCACGGAAACATGAAAATCACTCATGAAACACTTAGCAAGGTTTTAAAAGATACACCTTGTGAGTATGCTCCACTGTATGTAGAACAATTCCACACAAAAATGTGCACAGAAATGAAGAGGCTGAAGGTTTTTGTAAAAATGTTTCTCTATAGCTGCATTACCCAAAGTGAATTGCAAAAAGTGTTAAAAGAGTTTGGAAGTGGGGTTCAGATTCTCAGCTGATGAAAATTTCCGTAGTTGGCAAAATCTGCATTTTGTTTCTTGCTAAAATGTCTCAAAAGAGTGCAGACACACAAGAAAAAGTTGACTGCCTAAAATCCTTTAAGTATTCTATAGCACTAACTGTGTTCAGAAAGACTTAATTCAGACCGTATGAACCTCTGGAGTAATTTTCAAGTAATCAGAAGGTAACAGCTCAAGATCAAGAGGCTGAAAAATATAGCTAGTGCCACACTGCAAGCCTTGCACAGTATACTCATACAGAGTGCCAGGAATATCTGTTTCTGCCCAGTTGTTATCAGGCTGTTAAGCTGATATATAAAAGACAGTGAGAAGTGTTGTCACTTGCAGCAGGGATCAACAAGGCTGACAGAGCTCCAAACCAGCAGCTGTAAATGGAAGAGTCAGTGTCATTTTAAAGAATGTTTTAGAAGCAGAATAGAAGTCAGGTGTCATGGTTCTATGTTTTTGTTTTTGTTTTTTTATGTTTTCAGTATTCCACATCAAAACATCATGTAGTGCACAGGGCATTAAAGTGTCACTGCCCCAATCCCAGCTACCTATCCCTGTACATTACAGCAGTCACGGGATCTGGCCCTTCCGGGTGGGGGGGGCGCTCTCTTGCTGCATGGCAGTGGGTGCAGGAGGGTGCTTTCCTAGCCGTTCCAAGCTTTTCAGGTTTGAATCGGTCCCGGGAACTCTCTCTCTCTCTCATCTTGTCTGATTTATTAATCTCAATTTCAATTAAATTGTATATATTGTGTTATCTTGTATTCCAATACTATAGTAAAATAAGTTTTCCTCCATAGATTGTTGCCGCTGTTCTTTTCCTCCCTTCCTTCCTTCCCATTTTTTGTGGGATTGGGGTGGGGGGGGGGGGCAGAGGCCTGTCGCCCCTGTCACGGACGTGGATTGATCTGATCAACTCCGTGACAGATTTTGGCGCCCAACGTGGGGCAAGCTGCTTTTTAGCTTTTTGAACGAATTTTTTTTTTTTCTCTCTGCTCTTAGAGAGCTTCGTTAGGGAGCATTATCAGTAGTTCAGGTTTCTGTGCTGGAAAACCTGACCTTGAAAGATTAGGCGTACTGCCAGTGTTCTGGGATATTTGTAAACTTTGAGCATTACTTAGTCTGAGTAGTGCCTTTTTCCTTTTTTTTTTTTTTCCCCATCTTGTTAGCTTCAATTCATTAACCCTCTTTTAGCAAGCACTAGCGATGAACCCACTCGTTATTGTGGGGGTGCTGGGTAAAGGATTAAAAGCAATGGTGTTAGTCACAACCTGCTGGCCAATAATCCATCTCACACTTGTGTGTTTTGGAATTGCATCTGTATATAACTATCTAAGGGCACTGATGGAGACACCTATGTTTTACTTATTTGCAATGTGGTATGATTTGAATTTTGACATTTACATCCCGGAAGGAATGGCTAATTTCACAAACAGCTACATCCCAAATGGAATGGCTAATTTCACAAACAGTTACATCCCAAATGGAATAGCTAATTTTACAAACAACACGATGTTCAGACCAGTCTCCGGTTTTTCTTCTCGGTTTGTCAAACGTTTTTTGAATCCTGAATTAATAGTCATGTTGGTGTGCATGTCATCAGTTTTCCTGAATGTATTCCTATGCATTCGTATTAAGGGAAAGGAGTCTCTTCCAAAACTAGAGAATGATGATTGGCAGGGAATATGGAGAGGTTTAGGAAAGGTCTTAGAAGCATGGGGACCTGCAGTGTCATGGGATTTTACTCTTGAACACCTGTGGGATCCTGAGAAACTAAGCCAGTATTTGAGTCAGGGACTATGCGGCTTACATAAATCTAAGGAGGTACAACTTATTTGGGGTTTGGCTTGTGCTTACCGTGCCCTATATAATACCATTCTGGAGAGAGAGAGTTTCCGAGCTGAGGTTCAAGCTAAAGGGGAAAATCCCCATGTCAAATCTAATCAATCACAGGAGACACCAGTAACAATACCGGTTGCTCCTGTGGAGGGCAAGAAATGGAAACGAGTGTCTTCGCGTCTTGAACGAAAAAGAGAAGAAGAGGAGGAGGAGGTGGAGGAAGATCCAGGCGAGGGGCCCTCCTCAGGACCACCACCATCGCGAAAGGCAAAAGGGAAAACTAAGAGACGTGCAGAAGAGAGTGATGAAGAGGAAGTCTCTATTACTACTCGCCGGCCTCTAAAGATGACTGAAATCCAAGGTTCAAGAAAGGAGTTTACACGGCGCCCGAATGAAACTCTTGTTTCCTGGTTGGTTCGCTGTTGGGACAGTGGGGCCCATAGCTTGTCTCTGGATGGTAATGAAGCTCGCCAACTAGGTGCCATTGCCAGAGATCCAGCTATTGATAGAGGAATTAGTCGATGCTCGGATGAAGCTGCCTCCCTCTGGGAACGAGTGTTAACAGCCGTGAAGGAAAAGTATCCCTTCAAAAATGGCTTGAAGATTGCAATGAAAAAATGGGATACAGTTGAAAAGGGGATCCAGTATTTGAGGGAAATAGGCGTGGTGGAAATGTTGTATGACCCTGACTTTGTTCCTAACGACCCACACCAGAACCGTGACCCTGAAAGAGTGAGGACAACGCCTGAGATATGGCAGAAAATCGTGACAACAGCGCTGGACAAATATGCCTCTACACTGATGTCAGCGTGTGACAGATTCAACGAGCAACAGAGAACGCCCTTAGTTTATGAATTAATTGTTACGCTCCAAAACTACGAACAATTACTGTCCCCAATTCATGCTGCCGTTGCTGCTATATCAAGAATGACGGAGCAAGTGTCTCAACTGATTAACCGCGACAAACCTGTAGCAGTATCAGAAACGCTTGATGAAGATCAGGATAATCAAACAAGTCTAGCGAAGGATATGAAGGAGATGAAGGAGATGATGAAATGTATGCAAGCCCACCTAACTAAAGACAAAGAACCTTCCTTCTCACGTGCACCATCAAAGATCTCAGCTGTTAGAAGCAAACGCTCTCCGGCTCAAGTAAGGGGTAATACACCGCGAATTGCCTTATGGTATTACCTGCGTGACCATGGAGAAGACATGGGGAAGTGGCACGGTCAACCTACTCCTGTACTACGAGCCCGAGTGAAAGAATTACAAAGCAGATCAACCACCAGTGCAGTTGCTCCAGTTACCACAGGTAATGAATAGGGGGGCCCTGCCCTCAGTCAGGAGGGGGAAAGGGATAATAGAGTATATTGGACTGTGTGGATTCGATGGCCTGGCACATCAGAACCACTGAAATATAAGGCACTGGTGGACACTGGTGCACAGTGCACTCTGATGCCCTCGAGTCACCAAGGGACAGAATTAATCCATATTTCTGGAGTGACCGGGGGCTCTCAAGAATTGACTGTGTTGGAGGCTGAGATAAGCCTCACTGGTAAGGACTGGCAAAAACATCCTATTGTGACGGGCCCAGGGGCTCCATGTATACTAGGTATTGATTATCTCAGAAGGGGACATTTCAAGGACCCTAAGGGGTATCGATGGGCCTTTGGAATAGCTGCTGTGGATATAGACAACATTAAGCAGCTGTCTGTTTTGCCTGGCCTGTCAGAAGATCCATCTGTTGTGGGGCTGCTGCGAGTAAAAGAGCAACATGTACCGATTGCTACAAAAACGGTGCACAGACGTCAGTACCGCACCAACAGGGATTCTTTGCTCCCCATTCATAAGTTAATTCGTCAACTAGAGAGCCAGGGAGTGATCAGCAAAACTCACTCGCCTTTTAACAGCCCCATATGGCCAGTGCGTAAAGCCAGTGGAGAATGGAGGCTGACGGTGGACTACCGTGGCCTGAATGAAGTCACACCCCCTCTGAGTGCTGCTGTGCCGGACATGTTAGAACTCCAGTATGAACTGGAGTCAAAAGCGGCCAAATGGTATGCCACCATTGACATTGCTAATGCCTTCTTTTCCATTCCTTTGGCCAAAGAATGTAAGCCACAGTTTGCTTTCACCTGGAGGGGCATTCAGTATACCTGGAACCGTTTGCCCCAGGGGTGGAAACACAGCCCGACCATTTGCCATGGGCTGATCCAAACTGTATTGGAACAGGGCAGTGCTCCTGAGCACCTGCAGTACATTGATGACATCATTGTGTGGGGCGATACAGCAGAAGAAGTCTTTACAAAAGGAGAGCGAACGATCCAAATTCTTCTGAGTGCTGGTTTTGCTATTAAGCGAAGCAAAGTGAAAGGACCTGCCCAGGAGATTCAGTTCCTAGGTATAAAGTGGCAAGATGGCCGTCGTCACATCCCGACAGATGTGATCGACAAAATCACTGCCATGTCTCCACCCACTAGCAAAAGAGAGACACAATCTTTTCTGGGTGCAGTGGGCTTTTGGAGAATGCATGTTCCAAACTACAGCCTCATTGTAAGCCCCCTTTATCATGTGACACGAATGAGAAATGAGTTTACATGGGGCCCTGAGCAGCAGCAGGCGTTTGAACAGATTAAACAGGAGATAGCCCGTGCTGTGGCCCTAGGGCCAGTACGGAAGGGACAGGGTATAAAGAACATCCTCTATACTGCTGCTGGAGAGAACGGTCCCACTTGGAGTTTGTGGCAAAGAGCCTCAGGAGAGACCCGAGGCCGACCCTTGGGATTCTGGAGTCGGGCGTACAGAGGGTCTGAAGAGCGCTACACTCCAACTGAGAAGGAGATCTTAGCTGCATATGAGGGGGTTTGGGCTGCTTCTGAAGTAGTCGGTACTGAAACACAGCTTCTTCTGGCACCTCGACTGCCAGTGCTGAACTGGATGTTTAAAGGAAAGGTTCCCTCCACCCATCATGCTACTGATGCCACTTGGAGTAAGTGGATTGCACTGATTACACAACGAGCACGGATGGGGAACCTCAGCCGTCCAGGAATCCTAGAGGTCATCATGGACTGGCCTGAAGGTAAAAAGTTTGGAACATCACCAGGAGAAGAGGTATCACGTGCTAAAGAAGCCCCACCATACAATGAACTACCAGAGAATGAAAAGAAATATGCCCTGTTCACAGATGGATCGTGTCGTATTGTGGGAAAGCATCGCAGATGGAAATCTGCTGTGTGGAGCCCCACACGACAAGTTGCAGAGGCCACTGAAGGGAAAGGAGAATCAAGCCAATTTGCAGAGGTAAAGGCTGTCCAACTGGCCTTAGATGTTGCTGAACGGGAGAGGTGGCCAATGCTCTATCTCTACACTGACTCATGGATGGTGGCAAATGCCTTATGGGGGTGGTTACAGCAGTGGGAGCAAAATAACTGGCAAAGAAGGGGTAAACCTATTTGGGCTGCTGAACTGTGGAAAGACATTGCTGCCCGAACAAAGACTATAGTTGTAAAGGTGCGCCATGTAGATGCTCATGTGCCCAAGAGTCGGGCTACTGAAGAACAGCAAAACAACCATCAGGTAGACCGAGCTGCCAGAATTGAGGTGGCTCAAATAGACCTGGACTGGCAGAACAAGGGTGAATTATTTCTGGCTCGGTGGGCCCATGAGACCTCAGGTCATCAAGGGAGAGATGCAACATACAAATGGGCTAGAGACCGAGGGGTGGACTTAACTATGGATGCCATTGCACAGGTTATTCATAACTGTGAAACATGTGCCATCATCAAACAAGCCAAGAGGATGAAACCTCTGTGGGAGGAAGGGCGATGGCA